TGGTAAGGATATCACTGCAAATCGAAGAATTTAAATAGGCCATGTTCTGGACATTTCTTTTCAAAATCAGTCACAAGCATGGACAGTATTTCTTATATATATTTGTCTTTTCATTTAACATGTCCCAAACCACTAGGAGATATTGAAAGTTAAATAATTTTATATTTGGCTTTCCATTTTTGGAGTTAAGTCAAAGGAGAAAGAGTAGAATAAATTTTGAATTGTCAAGAAAATATTAATCAATGAGAGCTCAAAATCATTTTCTGTATCATGAACAATGAAGTTAGAAGTTAGATAAAGCACAATATGTAAGTCAATCACCTTTTAATCTTTTCTCTAAGGTCTAAAATGATTTGTGTGCCCAAATCACATTCTAAGTATGTTCCTCACTGATGCATAAAAGCACTGTTTCTGTATATAAATGAGAGCCTCAATTTCAGATGATTTGACATAACCCTTGTAATGTTTTTTTTTTTTTTTCTAATTGATTGAAACTAAAAAAGAACATATCCTTTTTATTCCAATGGGAAAGTCTGAATTAAGTGAAGCACATATCATGATAGTTATAACACTATGAATCAACATTTTACTTTTTTTTGTCAGCATTTGTTTTCTTTTATGAATATGTGATTTCAACTTATGTAATTTTAACTACTTATTCTGCTCTTGGAAAATTAATATTTTTTAGAGTATCATTAAAATCACAAATTCAGAATTGAGATGTTAATTGTTTACATTTCAAATTATTTAATATCTTATAATTATGAGAACCATAGAAACAATAAGGAGATGAACATCTTTTGTGGGGACCCATAAATCTCCAACCTGAAACCAGAAATGTTTCTTTAAAAGAAAGCTTCTGGAATCATCTATCCATTCATCTTGCTTTGCCCAGTGATGATCTACTCTATTTTAAAAAGTCTTATTACATAGAAACTTCAGTTATATTGATATTTTTGGTAAAGGTCAGAGTGCTTTTTAATTCAGCAACACTTTTCTTCAATGGCTAACTCTTATTTCCTATCACTTTTAGTGTTTATAAGTAGATCACCATTTTTTTTTTGCAGTTTCCACTTTATTGTAAATCAACAGTTTTTATATTGTTCCCTCCTAATAATTTCCCCCAATCTTTGTTTGCTTTCAAAATTATCAAATTCTAAAATACCAAGGCCTATATTCCAATAAGGTTAGAGCTATTATAAATGTATTTTTATAGTCTCATTACACAAAAGATTCAGTTGCAGTGTATTTCACCCAGTGTCAATCAGAAGTTTTCTGATAAGTGATCAATTTCTTGTTGAGCAAATGAAAAATATTTAGTACTTGATATAGAGATTGCAATCGGTTTAATGTGTTCAGGGTTTGGTGGTAAGGAAAGTGGTATCAGTTTTAAAGTAATGAGCAACAGTAGATCCATTTCTCCTTGAAAAATACATTGGTACGTTAGGGACTTCTGGTGTCTTGGAGGTAAAACTCATTCAGAGACTACAGAATTTGTTCATATCAAACATAAAAAAAGAAAGAAAGAAAGAGAGTGCTCCATCTGGATGAAAAAAGGAGCCTCACTTTCCAAAGGACTGTACCCTCTCTCATGGATGCCTACTTTGGTCTCTACCTAAAATTGGCGGATGGAGTTCGGGATGCTGAGCAGCAGCAGCAGTAGCTCTGTCACTGTAGAGACCACCCACAGAGCAGCATTGGGGGTGCTATGGTTTGGATGTGAGGTGTCCCCAAAAGCTCACATGCAAGAAGGTTAAGAAAAAAAATGATGGTGCTATTAGAGCCTTAAACCAATCAGTGAATTAATCACCTGATGGGATTAACTGGGTGGGTCTGGAGGCAGGTGGGATATGGCTAGAGAAAGTAGTTCATTGAGGGTGTGGCTATGAAGTATATATTTTGTATCTGGTGAGTGGACACCTCTCTCTCTCTCTCTCTCTCTCTCTCTCTCTCTCTCTCTCTCTCTCCTCTCTGATCATTATGTGAGCTGCTTACTTTGCCACACTCTTCTGCCATGTTGTTCTGTCTTACCTCAAACCCCCAGGAATGTAACCTACTCTCTATGGACTGAGACTTCTGACTCTGTAAGCCCTCAAATAAACTTTTCTCCTCTACAATTGTGCTGTTTGGGTCCTTTAGTCACAGCAGTGTAAAGGTGACTAAAACAGATGGTAGGAAGACACGGCCCAGCACTGACAAAGAAGTGCCCAGGAGAGATATAAAGGAGAAGAGGGACACTTATGAAGACACAGTATTTGATGGCACAGAATGATGGAAAACCCTTCTGAATAGTAGTTAGATCCCAGGAAATTAATTTATGTTGCACTTAATTCGCATAAAAAATATTATTTTACTGATGAGTACTAGAGACACTGAAAGTTAAGTCCATTTGAATGAAATGACAATGTTAGTAAGGCATCAGTCTAGGATTTGAACACAATTGCTTCTGGGAGTTAAAGCCTTATACACACACTATTCCCCAGCACCAAGCCACACCAAGTATTGATTCTAGTTTTTCTTAATTAGGAAATTTTGTGCATCTCTCTTCCTCAGCAATCTCAGTGAAAAGAATGCTCCAGGTGTTATGTGTGATTCCCAGAATTGATTTAATTGTAAACCCAAACCAATGTCATGAGGAACATATAAATGCAAATATTTCACTGATTGGATTTTAGGGATTCAGCTGCAGAACTTCATCAAGAAATCTACTGTGTGCTCACAGTGACCTTTGTGGGATCCCCCTTCCAGATAGATCAGAGCTTATAACTTCAATGTAGAAGTGGCAGCTAAACTATTGAAGTCTTCTTAAAAGTGAAACTGATCAGGGCTGAATGTAGAATTTCTAACAATGTCAATAAATAGAGTAAATGAGTACAAGCAAAACACACAATCAACATGTCATATCTGCCCAATTTATTTTGGAATTTGAAATTCTATAAGGAATGTGGTACAACAGCATGTTGCTTCAAAACTACTTACATCCATTGAGCTTCTGTGTTTGTTTGTTTGTTTTTTACAACCCATATAAATGGATTCTTAAACATTTAATTAATACCTTGTTCCCTCTGAGATATAGGTCCATTCACTTAGGTAATAAGCAGTGAGGACAAAGTCATCTATTTGCTCTTGGAAAGTCAAATATTGGAAATAAATAAGAACATTTATATATATATTCCAAGACTTGGAGGGTTAAGGTTCTCAAAAATAAATTTATTATAAAAAAAACATTAAAAATTTGCAATACAATTTTAAATTCTCTTTTTTTGAATCAAAACGAACATCATCTTAAGTGGCACTATTAATGCATTCTAATCTTCCATTCAACACTAATCTGTTTAATCAAAGCTCTATCACAGTTTGTTTAAGCATACCGCCTGCCTCTGAAGAGCATATTGCAAGCCTGATTCCAACTAACAGCATGTGGCTTTCAAAGAGAATGCACTTTGTGTTTATTCCCTCGGTAATGAGTTGAAAATCATTTTGTACTTAAAATTAAAGATTAAAGTTAGAAGTATCTTTGCTTCAATGGCTATATTTAAAAACTACCTGGGATTCTGAAGAATAGAGAGCTCTGAGCTATGCTCTTCTCTCGTTTGTTCAAAAATTCCTTCTAAAATGCTTCTTTCCTCTGTACATATTTGTTGAAATTTTTCAGGCTTGAAATACATGTTTTATATTATTTTCAGCACACAGTGGCAATCCGATAAGCATTTGAGAAGATAAAGTCAGGTGGTGAATAGTAACAAACCTCAATCAGATACTTATGCTATGTGCTCATAATCAAGAAGCCTTTGTAACATCACTACTTATGAAACTGTGGTTTTCTCAAGCACTTGAGTTTGCCACTCTGACATTTGGAATACTTTAATGTGGCAGAATGGTTTTCTCCAAATAACTTTTAACAGAGGAGCAATGTATCCAAAACCCAAATGAACGAGAGCTATGAGAAGAAAAAAGGAATATAGTGTTCTTCATTTTGTTTGATCCTCTAGTATAAACTTTTAATTATAATTTCTCCTCTACACCTTCCCAGATGAGCTGAAACCCCAATTCAGTGAAGGATCTATAATAATATCTAACAAACCACAACATACGTTCTCCAAATGCCTAACATTGTCCTTTGTGTACATGTTTTTTTTTTTTTTTTAAGTCATTTCACCAGCTCCAACAGACCTTCTTCAACCTCTCTGTCAAAGTACAGTTTAAAAGTCACCTACAAGGGCTGAGGTTGTGGTGAGTGGTAGAGTGCTTGCCTTGCATATGTGAGGTACTGGGTTCGATCTCAGAACCACATAAAAACAAATAAAGGTATCGTGTCCATCTACAACTAAAAGAAGTTACCTACAATGGACCCACTTAGAAAGGCTGCTAAAATCCAATTTCATAAACCCATCCAAACTTGCTCAATTAGAATACATACATCTGGGACCTCAGAATTACACAATGAGAAACATTCAAGAAAATGCCATGGTAAAAATGAATGGCAATTCTTAGTGCTAAACCTGCCTACTTCGAGATTAAATCTCTCTCTTCTCCACTCCCTGCATTAGAATGCACATGGACACATGCACACACACAGACACACACACACACACACACTACTTAAATGCTCTTCCATTTGTCAATACAACTATTATACAAAATTTTACAGAAATAAATTCATTGTTTATAAACTCTAAAATGTTTGCAAGGATTTAGAAACATATTTTCTATAGAGACAAACCGGGTGGACATCTACTGGGAGAGATTCATGGAAAAACTGTGGAAATATAGCAAACGACCATCCTAAAGTATTTCTTTGAAATACATTTCATACTGCATACTACTCAGTGATTCATTTCAAACAGGAAAACATATCAAGTAGAAGAGCATTTGAAAGTTTGATAGCACACTGATGAATTTAATATCTTCCTAATAAATGCAATGATCATTTTTACCAATGTATAAAATTCTTATTTGAACATTCAGGAAATAATAACATTAGGAAAATGTAAACTTACCACTTCTTCATGTCTGCATTTTCTCACATTAATCCCATTTATCTGCAAAGCAAAGAAAGCATATTTTCACATAGCATATTATAAACTAACTTAAGTTTTTGGTTGCATATAAGATAATAATGATAAAATACATACCTGTAGAATTGCATCCCCAATAAAGAGTAGTCCTGAAAGTTCAGCTATAAATGAAAAACAACAGTTGATTATATACTGACTATTTTCATCGGAAAAATAAGTTGTTTTATTATCACTAATATAGAATAATGAAACAAAAGTTAAAAGTTTTACATTACTATTATCTTGAAAGATCCACAAAAACGAAAATTCAAAATAATAATACGATTCAACCCATTTTAATTACTGAAACACAAGCAGAGATATTTCTACATAGTTCCATCATTTCAGATCTTACAGTTGCAAAATATCAGTGAGTCATCTGAATGCCTGGCCTAATTTTTTCATGCACTTATACTCATGGTGTTTCTGTGAAAAACATTTGAGAGTTAGATACCCAATCCACCAGCTAAGAAAATGGAAATAGTTACAAGTTTATTCATAAACACTACATTGTTTAAATAGTTTTAGTTAATGTTTGATTGTACCTAATATATACATGGCTACATGGTTTATTAAAGTTTATCCTTGTTCTGTTTCTGTGATGGTATCCCCCAAATCCGCTTCTTATTGCCTGATTGTTGGTATGGAGGAGCTCCCTAGTCATATACCAATTGTTGAATCACTCTCAACAGCAGTTATAAAGAAATGGCTATTAGAGAATAATGAAAATTTACCTCTTTGCTCCTTGGAGATTTTTGAAATGACAACTGGAATGTTATGCTCTGCTCCTCCCTAGAAATATAAAATCATATATTGTATTTTTTAATGTCAAAAAAAAAAAAAGAAAAGAAAGGAAGAAAGAAAGCTTTCAATCAAGAAACTGTACAAGCTATGATGAGCATGTTCTGTGGACAGCAGGCAGAATAGAAGCAGGTAGCACTTCCATGAACCTTTATCAACGAGTTTGGAATTCTGCTCATATATTCAATAATTAATATCAATTAATTTGGAAAGTATTTTTATTTCTCAAACAAGACTAATAATGTCATTAAATGTACATGGACTTTGATGCCCTTTGTAGGAAGCTATCCATCATGGGAATTATTATTTAGGTTTCCAAACATTAGATGATTTCATATTTTCATTCTCTGGCTATGTTATTCTATGCTGGTGACCAGACACTTTTAACAGTGCAGAGACCTTCCTGAGTACAAAGTGACCAAAGAGATTTTTACTTGCATAAATGTATAACCAAAGTCAGGTTGTGCATATGCACACTGGGAACTGACATATCTGCATTTTCTTAATTAGTATTAGATTCCTCTTTGTGTGAAGGCACATAATAAACAAATTATACAACAAAATGCACTGCCAAGAATACTGCAGTAGTGTTTTGTTGTTGGATCAAATGACATAGGGAGAAAAAAAAACATATAACCTAAATTCACGTAAAGAAAAAGAATATAAAAGCTTAAAATAACTGCAAAAAAAAAATAAATATCCTGTTTCATCATTGTGATAAGGATGAAAGCAATAGCTGAAAAATACAGGGAATAAAATTTTGTATAGAAAAGAAAACCTATCACTTTAAAAAGACAGTTGAAAAACAATCTAAATTCCATTAGAGTTGTTCTATTTTTAGAATATGTAATCCTCCTGAGCATTTTCTTTTCAGGAACAAAAAAAAATATTTTAGAACTGACATGTTTGTTTTCCCCATGAATGTCCATTTTTAACACTGAGTATACTTAAATAGAAGACAGTCATTTTGCTGGAAAGCAGTAGTATTCAACTTTTTCTTGACAAGTAAAATCCTTTCCCCTGCTGAACTATTAAAAACAAACATGACACGTGAGATAAAAATTATCCTGCTCAGCTTGAAATTAGAACTCACTTCTCAATACTTTTTTTTCCCCTCTCTCTTACCATTTCCCATTAGCCCAATATGCATTTTCCCCACCCTCACTGTGAAGGAAGTCACTAGCATAAGTTAGAATGGTTCTTAATTCTATTCCTGCCTTATAGTCATTATATCTCTATAAGCTCTGATCCTATCTCAGATGATCCTCTCATCTGATCAGAGTGAGAATGATTAGTGACTGACAGTGTGATAAAAATTAAGTGCTTTTTTTTTAGTATACAATAAACACTAACTAAAGGGTAGCTCCAGCTTAAAGGCAGACTTCTAATGCAATCTATCTTTAAAATTTATTAGTGAAATCACATGCATTAAAATGAGATTAGAATAATCCATTTTAAGACCCTTAATATACATTAATCAGAATTCTATTTCTAATCCTTTGCACTCATTTTATTTTTTTTCCATTATACTTATCAACTTCTAACTCTCTATAATTTTAATCCATTTCCTACATTTATTACTTATCTTCTTTCTCCCTCTCCTATCCCTAACTAGAAGTTGAGCCACACAAAGCCATTAAAGTTTTTTGGTACTTTGTTTTGTGCATTGATAAAAATCTCAATGCATAGAATAATGTCTTTTTAAAAAATCCTGAAAATAAAGGTTTTTAAACTCAAAAGAATGGGTACTAGGGACAGGGGATGTGGCTCAAGCGGTAGCGCACTCACCTGTCATGCGCGGGGCGAGCACATAAAAATAAAATAAAGATGTTGTGTCCACCGAAAACTGAAAAATAAATATTTAAAAAAAATTCTCTCTCTCTCAAAAAAAAAAGAAAGAATGGGTACTAATTAGAATAAGAGATATTCTGTACTAATTAGAACAAGAGGTATTCTGTACTTATATAATTTTATCAAAAGGGATTCTACTACTGTCATGTATAACTAAGAAGAACCAATTAGAGAGAGAGAGAAGTGGGGGTGGGGAATGTCTGCAGTCCTAGGCTGTAGTTACTGATAATTTCTAGAGATACTTGGAAAATGGAAAGGATATATAGGATGCATCTACAAGCTTTTTAGAAGAAAAATCTGATTAATTCAAATTAATCACCAAGTTAATTTTTAGGTACTACAACAAGATGAAATAAATCAACCAATGAATTGTAGTTTATATGTATTTGGGGACAGAAACAATATTGTTTATGCCAATTTTGTCTCTATGTCTTCTTCCCTTAATCTGTTTTTACATTTTGTACTTTTCTCTCATTCCACTAGGAAATCAAAATTTTTCTTAAGGCTTATATTTTTTAAAAAACAAATTACAATGGAAGGACAGAAAGATGCTGATTCCTGGGGTCCTTCTAGGGAACAGGCAGCAGGGATAGTGATTTTCTGAGGTTAACTCAATGCCAATTGTTCCTCAGCATTCATGTTTATAGCTATCTTTTAATGACAAGATGTAACTAATCCCTATTTTGTCAACATTTCTCTGGTATGTGTAAACTTTATCCTGAAATTAGAATGGCTTGAGTCCAAGTATGGTTTTGTTCTTTTGTTATACTTGTTTTTGTTTTGTTTTGTGCTTTTAAATCAGATATTTGGAGCTCTGAAATAATTCTTAAACTAATCTCAGAAAATGACTTTATTGATTAGATAGCAAATTTTAAAACAAAACTCAGAAGATAGAATTCGAACCTTAAATGACTCTGCTTTCATTCATTGGATGAAACCTGAAGAGCAGCCCAGCTCTATTAAAGTTAACTAGATTTGGTTCAGGAACTAAATGGGGGGATTTAAGATTTTTCAGGTAAGAGTCAAATAATGTGGCTTGCACTCTTTAAAGTAGGTAATAAGCTTCCCATTACACTTAGAATAAAAATCAAAGGCCTTAACAGCCCTTTGTTGTGTAGCCTCAGCTTTCCTGCACAGCACAAATCCATAGCTCCATCATTCTGAACACCAAAGGATGCCAATATTTACTGGCATGCTTTTCCCTTATTCTTAACCTGGTAAGCTCCTGCCCATTTTTGAAATTTGTTGAAAAATGTTTCCTCCTCCAGTATTTCTCTGCCTGATGTAAATTCACTTAGGTAGCATTGAATTATGGCTGTGATTTTTATTTATTTACATAATAATTTGATCAGCCTACTTTCAGACTGGAGAGTAAATGGCCTGAGGTCAAGACAGGGCTCCTTACTCTCTTCTCCTGGCCCAGGGCTCAGAACATAGTTTGGAGAAAGTCTGGATTAATCAATTACTATTATTCCAGAGAGTGTTAGGATCCAAGACTGAGGAAAGTGATGCAATATTCCAAACTGCAGCCCAGATATCAAGGAATACATATTTCAATTTTGTAATGTTATTTTTCCAAAGCAAAACTCATGTTATAGCTGTCTGTGTAGGAACAAGGTTATAGATCCTGTCTAAAGCATTTGAAGGACTCTACACAACAATTTTGCTAACAGGACTGTGAAATACCTCTGAATCAAACTTTGAATATTTTTAGAGGATTGAAAATCTTAACACATAACTCTTTTTAATTCAATATTTTCATTATCCTGATCAATCAGCTCAGCAAGCAAGCATATTCTGGGCTCTGGAAAAAAATAATATGTAGATGTTGCCACTATTCTTTCATCAAGAGTAAAGAGAATTCTTGTAAGCATACAGCAACAAGATAATTAGAGTTAAGAGATGAAGTGGACAGGTATGGGAGAGGCATCTAAAAATATCCTCTGAAAGAATATGGGAAGTACCATTATCCATTTAGATGCCATTATTATCTGCCCAAAATTTTGTTTTGGTAAAAATCAATGACCTTTTCTATATAGTATACGTTAACCTTCATATGAAAATCCCAACTAAGAAAATCTGTAGAGATAGAAAATGGATTAGTGGTTGCTCAGGGCTGAGGTGGGGTTGCAGGTCTCAAAGATTTATAGCAAAATGATATGAGGTTTCTTCTTAATATGATGGAATGTTTTGAAATTGAATGTTCTGATAGTTGCTCATATCCATGAGTATATGAAAATTCATTGAATTCTACACTTTAATTCAATAAATTTATGGTATGTGAATTTTATCTCAGTAAGGCTGTTTAAGTTTTAAGAAATGGTCTTTCAAGTAAAGTGTTCCTGTGGTTTTAACTGACCCTTGGGACTAATCCATCATCCTGAATTAAAATTGATTATCTGACTCTTTTCTCCCTATTTCTATGTTGGAAATGTACATATTCATTTTGTCTATTGTAGACTTGTACTGACTCAAGCAAAAACAATTGAGGAACAGAACCGGTGAAATAAATGTCCACTTATATCAACAGTTATTATTTATAGATTTACTCAGAAATCACAAAGTAAAACACAAAAATTTATTGCATCTACAATAAAGGTACATTTTTATTTGTTAAATTTGATACTACTAATAACTGTCAATATAGGAAATTAGTTGCTTAACCCTGGTTATTTTTATCCATTCAATTCAATTTTTAAAAAAATCATATCATGAATAATAGTGGAAACATGGCTTGTGTCCTCAAATGTAGATGTTAGGGATAATTAAGTCCAGGTTTTATAAATATAGGGCATAGTTTCTCAGAGTAAGAGCTTTGTCATGAGGTTGAATCCCAGGTTTGCTACTTATAAGAATGGGTAAATTACTGAACCTGTTAATATTTAATCTTATTGCCTCTGGAAGGAATAACAATAGTAATATACCTTGCTAAATAATAAAGTCAAATTAAGAAGAACATGAAATATTTATCTCAGAATATGACTCTAGATTATAAATATCAGCAATTGTTTATAAATAATAAAATGATTAATGGTAATAAGCATTATATTTTTGATAACAGGGATTGAACCTAGGGGCACTCTAATACCGAGTCACATGCCCAGCATCATTTATGTATTTATTTTTATTTACTTATTTAT